TCCCATTTGGCGTGGTAATTTCATTTTCGACCATGTTGGAATGTCCAAGTGGTGAACAAATTCACAATATTTGCTCGTGGCGTCGCTGTATTTGCTTGAACGACGAGCTCGACATCTCCACAATGAAGTTTGTCGTTCATGAATGACGACAGTCCCCTCTAAAAGCGGTCGGGAAAAGAACAAGCAGCAGACAACCCCTTGCCACCCTCACATCATCCCATGTACCTACAGTGTACAGCGTAGATGCAGCATTCCCTTGTCCCTTCAACCATCACTTCGCGTCGCATCGCATCGCGACTAGTCGCTCTGTCTATTTAGAGAATGCATGCAGTTGCTTTTTCTGCTCCAAGATAGACTTGTTTTCACGCCGAGCACGGAAAGCAACGGAAATGGTTTCTGAAATTGGATAAAGTGTTTTGTTTTCCTCGCATTACTATCCGAAACGTTGTCTTTTATATTACAGCATTTTCCTGTTGCTCTCTGCAAGAACTTCAGCCATTTTACAGCGTATCTCACTTCACGATGAGCAATCGTCAACCTTCAGAGATACACGAAACCTAATTGTAGATACTAAAATAATAACTAAAATTGTAAAAGCTAATAGTTTTATTTAAGCGCAGAAGATTGCCTACTATTTTCCTTTAAATAATAATAATAAGAACAATAAGAAATTGCAAATTAAAAAACATACATGAATACAGACTTCATTGGTGTTTTCTTGTAACTTTTTTAACTATAACAGAACTTTATTGTGACATATTAAACCTGTAAAATTCTGTATTTCGAGCAGTTGTGCCCGCTTCGTTTCGTCTATCCCTTTAATGAAAAATCATTTCTTTTCTTTTGGTTTTGTGGGTCCTCTTTCTTAATAAATACCCTTCACCTTGTATATTATATTTACTGTTCGTTTCAAGAAGTTGGAGATATGCCCCTTCCCTATATTAGGATGCACCGTAGCATAATTCCAAATTCAATCATATTTGTCTGCGGAGCTCATTTCTCCACCGTTTGTCGAGCGAGAACTAGACAAAAGTGTACAGTACCATTTGCAAAATTATTTAAGAGTGCCTCGTTAAAATTTAAGAATATGCTTTATTTAAAAGCAAAAAATAATAACAAATGAATTAACTTAACGTTCTACACACCTATAAAGCTTTTGCTTTGTTTTCTACTGTTATTTTATATACATTTTTGTTTTAAGAAATTGCTAAACATTTTCGTCTAGTACTGTACAGTTCTAGCCGATCTCCTAAGACCGCCCATCGAGAGCTCTGCTCGTTCAAGCTTGTCCCAACTATTTCTGTCTTGCTCACGCCTAGTGTGTATTCTTTCTATCTTCGCGCAGATTTCTTCAAGGTCACAATTCTAACAAATTGAAATAGACTGTATGTTTCTATACTGGCAGTTAAAACAGAATTCGACTGAAATGTATTCTAACGGCTTTTTCAACAAAACTGCTATTGTTCAACGCCTACCTACACGTACGTGTAAGTCATTGAAAACGTATATAGTAGGTAGGGAAAAGCCAAAGGACTTAATTAATGTGTTTACATTTTGTAAGGGTTAACGGACCCGGATTGTATCGTGACCGCCGAATCTAACTAACGAACGCCCGTTCTAATTTACGGCAACCAATTGCACCAGAAAATTACGTGTTTTTACCTTCGCCTCTAGGAAACTTATTCGGAAACAATAGCAACAACGGAAAATGCACCCTGTTTATATTTGACGGCGCATCAGAGCCTAATATTATTAATTTTAATGTGACTTAAGTCACATATTTGTTTGTTTGTTTGCCAATATCATTTTACGCCTTTTGACTACTCAAATTTTGTACACACATTATTAGGGATACCGAAAAGGACATAGGGTATCTTTTATTCAGAAAAAAATACTGTTCCCGAGGGATACGTTATCTATAAAAAAAAAGTTTAAAGTTAAGTTTTTTTTGTTTGTAATTTATTTTCAAAAATCACCCACTTCACATTTTCAATTTATTCTTGACTTGCTTTTTGTAATAAATACAATTTTATCCGATGGCAGAAGTTCACCAACACACTTCAATTTTATTTCGGCCTTTTGAATTCTAAAAATTAGGTTATATATATGTACACCCACCGTGCAAATCCGTAGCTTCAGCTAAAATCGCGTAATACCAACCGTTCATTCATTACATTAGTAGGTACTATAGAATGAAGCAAAAAAGCCCTCAAGGATATAGCACACGAAGCACGCGTAATTTAGCATTTCGTATAATACCCATGCACCTACCACAAGGTTCGTGTTTCACTTTAAATTGCCTTTTTCGTTTATCGGCCGCAAAGGCTTAGCGATTCTTTTTCTCTGGCTTCAAATAAAAAAAAAACCTCTCGTAATTAAATTTTTAATTGCGTTTACTTGTAAGGGGATATTTCCGAGCTCGGGAAATTACCACGAGCAGTTTCATTAAACAGCGTTCGGAATAAAATTATCAGGGTGGATGCCAGGGTGACTTGATTGACTGCCGCTTCTCACGACCAGATGTCTACCGTTACCGAAGATTTCCAATTTTACGAGATATATAGGAGAGAAAAGAGATAGATACGCTACAATTGGTGCTTTGGTGTAAATAATTTATATGAACAGATAGTTGCATTACTTGTTGTGACATATTTTGATTTGTAAGTTTGCAATTCCAAGGATTCATGAGTAAATAATAGGATAATTAAAGTAATTATTCTCTCTGAGTATTTATTTATTTCAAGTACTGGTAGAAAGTATACTGATGTATGGGGTTGAAATATGGGGATGATTAAAGCACAAAGTAATCGAAGGAGTACAAAACAAATACATAAAAAGGATTCTCAGGCTTGATCAAACAACACCAACTACTACTAAAATTAGAAACAGGCAAAAAAAAATGGCAAATAAGACAAGAAAAAGGACGATAAAATATGATAAAAAAAGTTGGAAAAGAGAGAAGCAATCTACTTAGAGAGTGCTTAAAAGTAAAATACAGGTAAAAGAAAAGGTGAAAAGGGAAAAGGGCCAATAGCAGAAAAATGGAAGTTAGACAGGAGGAATTACTTTCTAGAAAAGAAATGGACACCTGACTACTATAATCAACTTATGGAGAATAATAGCGACATATGGACAGAAGCAGAGAAAATTGAAAAAGAACAAGACAGGCAAAAACACACATCACATCAGCCCTACGAACAGAAACCTCTGCACAGTTAGAAAAATTGTCAATTTGAAGTGTAGCAAAGACGATGTAATAATTTTAAATCATTATGCTAGACGAGAAGGTGTTGACCTATTTTTGAATCCTTTCTTAGACATACCGTTTCAAATATTCCTAATAAAATAAACAGCAATAAGTGATATTGTTCCAATGATTACAATAATATTCGTTGTCGCTGTATCTTTTTTGGGCTTCATTTCTAAAGGGGCTGTTGATTAACCATGTAACTCCAATATATTCTAGCTGAATTTTAATCGTCAAACCCTTACACGGTCCATCATCGTTTCAGTGTATTTTTAACAGTCTTGTCTATTGCGCGTATATAGGTAATAGACATCGATCCACTTCTACTTCCTCTTTATCGATTCACTTTACAATTATCATCAAAAATTTTCATTCTTTTTACAATAAAAAAACATCTTGCTCAGGTATCAAACTCCCTCAACCCCTAGTCATCATCATCATCATCATAAGGTCGTCAGTCCTAAGACTGGTTGGACATGTACCTCCACTCTTTAATATCCTGAGCTAAACTTCGCATTTCCCTGTAACTAGAACAACCCACATCCTTAACTATTTGCGAACAGTAATCTAATCTAGGTCTACCTCTACCCCTCCTAACTCCTGTTTTTGCCTCTAATATGTCTCTGACTAGACCTTCATGCCTAAGAAGGTGTCCTACCAACCTATCTCGCCTATTTTTTATTGACTTCCATAGAGTCCTCTGTTCTCCTATTCTTTCCAATACCTCTTCATTTCTAACCTTTTCTACCCACGATATCCTCATCATCCGCCTATAACACCACATTTCGAACGCTTCTAACCTTTTCTTTTCCGCCGCTCCCACCCATTAATAGAAACCTACTTGTAATCGTCGTTCACAATATTGTTGGAAGCAGATTATTAAAATTATCTTACAATTAGTGCAGCTTTTACAACAAAGTTACAGCAAACAGTGAAGTATATGACACAATGAAATAGTTCATTCATTTTTGATTGGTTTTGTACGATACTTATCACTATAAATGGCTTGACGTTTACGTCCTACTTTTAATCGTAAACCTCGCCGTCCTACCTTCCGTTTGTGCTGCTTTTAATCTAAATATGCTAATTTAATGGTCCTTGGACTGCTAAGGGTTCTTTAACGAAGTAGCGCGAATACACAAAGTATTGAACGGGAAGTAGGGACGACATGGAATTTCCAATTCTTCTTTCGCCTTCGTCCTAACACATTCTGAGAGCAGTAATTATCCCGACTCCTTTAGATTTCGCCGCGAATGGAAAAAAAATCCTTCCCTGAAACTCTAGTGGATTCTGAAAGAAGGGTGCGAACGAGTTCAATGCTCAAGGCAAGGGTGGAAGATAAAACGCTAAAAATCGTTTAGAGCCAACCCTCCTCAATGTACATACAAACAAGAACAATGAGTCTATTTCGACGATTCTAATTTCGATCAAAAGAAACCGTTTGATAAGCATGATGCTTATATATAAATGGAGACAATAAGAAATAAAGGCTCTCACCTACTAATTGATCACATTGTTTTGTTTAATGAAGTTGATTGTTTTTGTATTATTTTATGAGTGTTTGAAATCGAGATCTTCATCCAGCAGAACATAAGTATCGGTTAGGTATCTGTAGTGATCACGATTTGGAAGTTTTTGACCATTGCATGATGTGATTCTAATTTAGTTACAATGTGTAAACTTTTTGAAGAAAATTGACCTTTATTTATTGGTTGTTCAGCATATCAATGTTCCTTTTCTCTTTGTTCCGCAGGTTGCCGGTAAAGGAAGCCATATATCGAACCTGTTCCGAAGTCGGTAAAGAATGTCTTCAATTTCTGGCAGCATAGTCGGCTACGAGAACAACAATGAGATTAACCGGAACAAAGTAAACAATCGGCCGAATGTCGTTCATCTAAATAACAAACGACAATCGGACCGTCAACGTAGAAAAATGGGTTTGAAGTGTTGCACAAAAATCCACTTGAATAACCTTTGGTCTTTATGGTACGGGTTCACGTGCACCATATTCCAGGCGTATGTCGGAGTAAAATGCGTCAGAAGGATATTGGGTAAGGGAGCATATTTCCTATTAACTTCCGCATTCTCAATTTACTCGTTTTCACAACAAAAGGAGAATAGTTTCTCGGATAAAATACGAAATAAAGAGGTTTCTTTTCAAAGGAATGTATTACGTATACCGTATGCGAAAGAATGAACCTTGACATAGAGGATCACAAATTCAAGGTACATTATGCGAATAGTCGCTTCTTAGATTCATTCTTCATTCGTATATGTGCGTGTCTTCACATAACATCTAACAGCTGCTCGGTGTACGCACCCTGTTTTTACTACTGTTGATGAGAGCGGCACAATATAACTCAATGTCAAGATTCGCATTTTCGCATACTGTATAATACATTTGTCACGGAAAAGTAGACTTATTTAGATAATATATAAATTAATTGGATATTACCTACATAAAAATTTATCTGCGGCAACTGCTACGGGTTGTAGCTAGTTGTATACACACAAATGTATCCAATATTCGTAGCTAAAGTACAAACTACAGTAATAGAACAAATGCAAACAATCCACACATATATCCGGAAGTAAACATGATCTGAATCCAATGAATAGTTCATAAATTACTACCAGCGATCTAACTCATTAACTAACTAATAAAACTCTTTAAAAAATTACAATGTAAACGATGGTGCGGGAAATATAAAAACTATCTAACAGTTAACAAATACATTCAATTTCGTCTTTCATTAGAGGCAAAACCAACTTTGGTAAGGGCACATGCACCTAATATAAAAAACCTTTCAAATATTTCAAAATAATGTATAAACGAATGCAGTGAAAAGCAGCGTCACGTTTTCAAATCCCTTGCGGAATATAAAGCCATAAATTATTGAAGAGACAAGAATATTTTAAAACATGTACCCATCAGGTAGGTACATACATACCTATCGAGATGGGGAAGTCGAAATAACATTTTATCATCACCAAATTTTCTTTAGCAAGGACGAGCGTTCCTTTGGAAAGCGCGAAAAACTTTGCATATTTGATTATAATGCCTCACATGTTTTCGATTTATAACTGTGACAAAATATGAATTTACAACGGTTGCGTTGACAGGAACAGAATTTATTTATGGAACACTTCGCCTTTTCCTCCCAAATTAAACAAAATTTGAATTTGTGAAGTTGTAAATCAATATAACAAACAAGCAGGAACAAATAAAAGCAACCGAGTTTAATAATTTCTAGTGATTTTAATGATTTCATAACTATTAAAGTTTGCAATTAAAACGAAACTATTAAGTGTGTGTAGTTTGTAACAAAAGCGATCCTGTGTCCTTCATTAAAGGAAAAAGGTTTAGAGTCGAAATAAACAAGTTCAATGGCTCAGTTCATTTCCGGTTCGAATCCGGCAACCTCTTTAATTTTTAATCCAGTAGCTTATCAATTATTAACGTCAAATTCTAAACATCCCCAGAGATTTAGAGAATGATTAGTCATACATATTAGAGCATAAAAGATAATCTAAAATTTCTCGATAAGCGAAACAGGTTGGATTGTTTTATTAAGAAAAACATTAGTGTTAACATATACTTATTCAATAATTATCGGCCTAGTTAAAGTGGTATTTAGGAACAGGTACATATTAACATTTTTGATTTATTATTACCCTTTTATAATTGTTGCATTAGGTCCATTGAATTGTTACAGGTTATTCGCTACTTCCATGGAGCGAAACTACCCCAGTACCATTGTTAGAATTAAATATAAGTCTGGGACTGACTGTTTTAGCAGTATTATTGTTACCAATCTTCTTGTGCTGTGCAGTATTTAAGGTAAGCATTTGTTAGTTCCATGAAATTTTCGGAGTTTCTCGTATCGAAAATTAAGTAACTTTTGTAAAAAACTTTTGTAGTAGTTATGTTTTATAAAAAACGACAAAACCAAGTTTGTCAAGTAACAATTCCACATAAGTAGGTATATTGATTAAAATTTAATGCTTTTTAGATTCATTTACGTATTATACCTTTAAATGTTTCAAACCTTTATTGAGGATGACTACGTATCTATGTTTCCGTTAGCTAGATTTTTTTCAATAGTAATAGGTATGCTACTATTGTATGCAAGAACTATTTAAAACCATTTCCTTCAAAATATAATTTTACTAAAATTAGTTATTTATTTTAAAACCAGATCGGACGTTTCGCCTATTGTTATCAAGAGTTTTTAAGGGTAGATTTAGGCTTTAGTATCATTAAAAAAGCCTAAAAATAATAGAAGAAACATCGAACCCGTTTTCAAAATAAATAAATTATTCATCCCTTATCGTAATTCTGATTTAACATCGGGATTTAATTCAGGGAAGAAATGCTCAGTCTTCGTAACTTATTGTTAAGGAAATAAAGGTTGAATATTGCGCTTATATAAAAATTTTCTTCTGGGGAAATCATTGTAAAAAAAGTTCATTAATAGTTTCAGAGAACAAACAATGCTTTCTGCTCTTTTGTTTAATGTCATTAATACTGAAAAGCACAGAAATATCTTACATATTGAGTAAACTATTTATAAACCTATAAAAGTACATTGCATATAGACATAAAAGGGTCGATACAGTTTGACTGCCCTAAGCGAAATTCCCTTTTGTACTCGTTAAACAAGTTGAGGCCAAAACTGAGTGTGTCTTTTGTGGATAGGAAGTTTGACTTAAACTTACACAACCCTTAAATCTACTCAGTAATAATACGGTCGTGTTTGCTACGAACTATCTGATCTTACCCAGAATTTCTCAAGTTAGTACATTACACTCGAAGGATTAGTTCACTACGAACGATTGTATCTGCTCAATTTTCCTTAAGTCTTAATATATAAGCTCATCTAATGTTCTGGATTTCATGGTTATTATCAATTTTAATTCAGTTAAGAAAAAACAAAACAATATCTGAATTAAAAATTAATAATCGGAGCAACCAAGTTCAGGACTCATGCTATTAATTTAATGTTTTGTACGTGAACACTTTCGGTTCTGACTCCCTAATTTGTTTCAATTATTGACCTTTTGACCCGTCAAATACCGATGATTTATTTTTAGACGGTTCCGTTATTTTGGTCTAGTCGTGACTGAACATACAATAACAACTAATTGTCGCCCAAAAAGGTTCTCCAATCAGATACGAGTGGTTGAACTTTCACACAATTGACTACAATTAAATACCGTTTATTCTCGAATCGATGCAACAAGGGGTTAAATAGCAAAAGAGCAAATCAAAAAAAAAAAGAGCAAACAATACAGCATTGCTATTTTAACGACCGAAATTTGAATAAAATAATTAAACGCAAAATTTGAAATCTATAAGCGTGTAAAATAGGGAACTTTTCGTATTATCCAATCTTCCATTTGACTATTATCATCATTATAAGGTCGTCAGTCCTAAGACTGGTTGGACATGTACCTCCACTCTTTCCTATCCTGAGCTAAACTTCGCATTTCCCTGTAACTAGAACAACCCACATCCTTAACTATTTGCGAACAGTAATCTAATCTAGGTCTACCTCTACCCCTCCTAACTCCTGTTTTTGCCTCTAATATGTCTCTGACTAGACCTTCATGCCTAAGAAGGTGTCCTACCAACCTATCTCGCCTATTTTTTATTGACTTCCATAGAGTCCTCTGTTCTCCTATTCTTTCCAATACCTCTTCATTTCTAACCTTTTCTACCCACGATATCCTCATCATCCGCCTATAACACCACATTTCGAACGCTTCTAACCTTTTCTTTTCCGCCGTGCCCACTGTCCATGTTTTGCACCCGTACAGCGCCGCGCTCCAAACATACACCTTTAACAACATTTTTCGACTTTCTAAATTAACCGTTCGCGAGCAAAGAAGTGACTTCTTTTTATTAAAGGCGGCACAACACTGCGCTATCCTCTGCTTTATATCCCCACCACTCCTTCCATCCTCACTTATCTGACATACCTAGGTATCTAAAATCGGCCACTTCTTCTAATTTTTCGTCTCCTATCTTTATATTCGCTCTTTCCCTAATTTTTCTTCCCTTGCATACCAGTATTTTAGTTTTACTTTTATTTATTTTCATACAGTACTGATCTATCAGTACCGCTCCCATTTTATTTAAAGCTATCTCTAGGCCCTCCTTGCTAGTTGCTAATACTGCTATATCATCTGCAAATCTAAGCATACTAATCTTTTGCCCTTGCACATCTATCCCTACAGTTGTACTGTCTTTAATGATGTTCGTTTGACTATAAAAACGTTAAATGCCCAAACCTTTACGATTTGTAAAACATTCCGTTCTATTGAAAACCTTTGTCACTAAAGTTTAGCAAGTTGTTAGTTTAGCGTGTGGTTTCAGTATTCAATGTTCTAGTTTGTTGCAAAGTTTCACATTGCATCCCCTGCCCCTTAAGCCCTGTCGACCAGATTTACACTCTTCAGAGGCAAACTACTGCTAAAACTACCGGTAAAGTTCCATTAATATCCGTAACTTTCTACGCGAAGGATTGCAACCCATTTAGTTTTTCTTTTTCAATTAATCTTAATTAAAGTGAACACCCTCTTACGAAGAAACTTCGTCTAATTTGGATCTCTACATTTTCCGAAACTATCTTCTCGTTTTCCCTTTTGATTACCAATTCGTAAATACACGATCTATATAATACATAATGCGTATATTTACGTAAGACAATATGTTGTCATCTACCAGAAGTAGGGTTGCCATATCTATTTGGAAACCAGGACAAGACGCGCGAAAACCCCGGATTTTAGAGTCCAGAACCCGGAAATGTCAACAGGTTTTTTTTAAACATAGTCAGTGTAATAAAAAACAGACAGAAAATGTCATAATGTCACAGTGCGTGTGTTGCGGGTGACTCAAGACTTTAAATTTTTAAACCCGGACTACAAATGAAGCTCCCCTCCCCCGGACGCTCCCCGGATGCCCTCTATACTAGGACAAATCCGGACGGATGGCAACCCTAGCCAGAAGAGAAGCATTTATTTCATATGTCATACTGTTATTAATATAATAATTAATATAAAATGTATTTAAAATTAACTTACTTTAGCCCAGTTAACCATTCGGTTAAATTTGTAAGATAGACTCGGTCATTGCTGAGTCCATTATTCTCTGTAACAAAAATATGTCTCAATTCATATACAATACTACTTAGAAATGCTGGAACAGTAACTATTTTTGTAATTGTACTTTTTTAAAAAGCCCAAACCACATATTAACGAAATAGAAAACAAAAACCTCGAAAAGCTCTCTTATTAATAGCGGGAATGGCTCGCAACGGTGTAGAATAAAGCTCACAATTACTGTCTACGAAATACGTAATGCAGGTATACCATACAACAGAGTACTTACATACAGTAAAAGCTCTTTATTCACGGGGTATACGAAATGGTAATTAGTATGGAATCATAGGTGATACGTTCTAAGGTTCCAAAATAAAACTAATATGTATCAAAATAAAATCAATGTATTGATAAATTGGCTATTAAAATTTTATTCGTTATAATCAGCTTTAGGCAAGAGGTAGTGATTCTTTCGTGTTTTGAATTTTGAAATTAGTCCACTCGATTACATTTTTATAAAAGGTGCCTCGGCACGAGCCAATACTACCTCAAAGATGCTGATACGTTGAAAAATAACACCGAATCCTTTTCTACTCGGTTTTTTATAAAAGCCGTATGTACCAACGTACTTACTCAAAAGATGCCGATACATTAAGGAGATTCAATAGTACACGCGGTGTAGAGTAAAAACATTCTTATCCGTTCTAGATATCATGAGTTTAATATGTGGAACAAAGGTTTGAAATCTTGTAGTAAGATAGATAAAGCTTTGTTCTAAAGCTTGTCGAAGGTATTTTTTTAATTTATTAATTTCTATTGAAAATACGCGTCCTACAACAGGCATCAGCTTTAAGCACTTGGAAAAGCTTTTAATGACCATATTATTGAAAACCAAAAACGTACCGAGTTAGTGTGCACCTTTGTCTGTTGTCATACAAAAAATTAGACATTTATCTCGCAGCGTTAAATCACAATGTTTAGAATAGAAACCATGTTCTCGGAAAAATTCACACTAGGCACGAGCGGTCTATTGCAGTCAATCCCCTTAATAAATGACACCGAATCCTTTTCTGTTTTTTTTTACCGCGAATACAGGTACTGGGTTGCAATTTTTCCACCCGCGAATAAGGATCTTTTACTGTATACACTTCATTTAAAATTATTACAATTAAGCTAGTGGGAAGATGGTACCCCAATGATATATTAAGATTTTTTAATTAGAAGGGATTCATCCCTTACTGGGTACATCTAAAGTTTTATTACAATTAAGAATTATTAATTGCTTCTTGCAGATAGGAAATTTAGCGAACGACGGTTTCAAGTTGGGCAGCCAGTTATCCATTTGTAGTAAGGACCAAACGTCCACCCTAGGCAGCAGGGGTGGCTGTAGTTTGTGGAAACATGGTGGCCCCACCGCTCCTTTTATACATCTAGTCATTGCTTTTTGTCTACTGTTGCCGAAACTTCTTATGGAAGCCAGACTGATTGAGGCAGGATTCGTGCAGCAAGGTAAGTCCACTTAATGTATTTTTTCAAAATGCCCGATACTCCACTATATACATTAAGGAGTTGTAACAAAAGAAATTTGATTGTGACACTCGTTTTAGTTCAATTTACTATCTTATTCAATTAAGAAAGAAAGCAAAAAATTAATTAACCTTTTTTATAAGTAATTAATATCGAAATATTGCCACAACAGCTTTTTTAATTTTTTTTACTGTTCTTTCCTGCATTCAAAAGACGATATATGATTAAAGGAATCATTTCTATTCCAATCCTTTATAGAATTAGGGTCGCAGAGATGATTCTCTTTTTATCTTCTTCTTTTCTTCGTCAGGTAGGTAATATGGATCGTGAGAAAACGGAGCTAAGGGTAATATTGAGTTAAGATTCGTTAGATTGAAGCGCAAATCTTGATGAAACGTTTCAAAGAATTTCCCGGTTATTTAAACCATAATAAAAGGGAACAAAGGAATCATATTCAATTATACAAAGACTCGGCAGTAAATAATAAGATTATAAAGACCGACAGGGACATTTTTAGTGAACCGCTTATAATACGACGTTAAAGTGGGTACTTTAACCTCGAGAAAAGAGTTTGTACAGTGACTTAAGGAATAGAAGCAGTCCAGAAGAAAGAAAACAAAAGGCCCCAAAAGCTATTTGATACATCCCCATAGAATGAAAAATTCATATTTTTCTTTACTTAAGTCATTTGCGCAAAATACATGCGTCCAACGAGACCGTCGATATTAATCAGTTTCGATCTAATTAATGCACTATTCAATTTTCAATTTCTTCATTTTCTTTAGAAAATCGAAGCTAAATTGAGGCAAACAATAGTTCCATATCGTCACTGGCGACACAACGTTTCGCGTTTAACGTATCACGCGTCCTGAGAAAGTGTTGATTGCGATATTAAATTATTTTTCCTCACGTATAATAATAGTCAGACTTTTCCTAATTTTATGTTCGACTTGTTTGAAATTATGCAGGGGCAACACAAAAATAGTTATTTCTAAACTAAACTATTTTTGTTACAATGTTTCACCCTACAAGGGAGAAGTCTAAAAAACTATTTTTTTTAAAGTGCCTACCTACTTCTAAGTACATAACACAATATTAGTATAATTGCGAAAATTTATTCTGTGGCATTTTCTCTTATTCTGGCATATATTTATGTGGAGTTTTATAAAAAGTTCGGACGTTCAAAATTGGTAATAGTCCTTCTTTCAACTAACTAGACTAGAGCGGTTGCCGAAAGAGCGCCTACTTTTACTCACCACAGATGTTGTAGGGAATATCTTAAATATAGAAAAGAGATGTCAGGTAGGAATTGCAGCGAACACTAATAAAGAAAAAAGAACAACATTACACCAATTGATGTGTAGCAGAAAAAGATGCAGGCAAGCAGAATTTTAACATATAATCAGTATCGGACTCTAAAGAAAGTTCAACATTCTCAGGAATTTAGGAAAGCAAAAACGTTTGTTTAAAGATATAATTCCAACCCGACAGTTATAAAGCCGACCCTGATATTTGTATACCTAAGCAACATCTAGCACTACCCCGAGATAAAAATGTTCAGTCTCTCAGAGTCTCTGAAAGCGAGACTCGAGTCTCCGTCTCTCATCGAGTCTCTTTGGTGTCGCTGAGAGAGACTGTCAAAAAACTGTATAGCGTCTCTGAACGAGAGACTCAAGTCGCTCATAGAGAGATCCNAGAGTCTCTGAAAGCGAGACTCGAGTCTCCGTCTCTCATCGAGTCTCTTTGGTGTCGCTGAGAGAGACTGTCAAAAAACTGTATAGCGTCTCTGAACGAGAGACTCAAGTCGCTCATAGAGAGATCCTCATTTCGTATCCAGTCTCTGAACGAGAGACTCGAATCTCTGAACGGGAGACGCGAATCTCTGAACGGGAGACGCGAATCTCTGAACGAGAGACTCGAATCTCTCAATAAGTGGTGTCTCGATAGACATGGTTAAAAGTTCAACATATTTCAGAGATCCTAGTCTTTCTACGAGAGACTGGAGTCTCTCAATTTTTCAGTTTTATTCATTCAGTCTCTCTGTAAGAGACTCGAATCTCTGAATTAACAATTTTATCGTTCGAGTCTCTCATACAGAAACTGTGAAAGATCCATAAAAACACCTAGGCAGTAACTGAGAGACTGTGAAAGACTGTGAGAGACGCTCTCAGAGACGCTGAAAGACTGAAAAGAAACTGAAAATTTTTGCCTAGGGACACCACTTACTATATTTCTGTTATCTCGTTTCATTTTGTCTGTACTACTCATGAAGCATTTCCTAACTTAACAAGGGTATGCTCAAGACTCAGCAAATGACTACAGTACCAAGTAGAAACAAGAAAGATTATACGTCCATTTTCCCAGATAATTTATGTCAATTTTGATCGATCCAACTATGCCACCCTTCTTTTGCTACAAAAAATTTAATGACTTCCAATCAGTTCTTTTAGAAAACCATCAACGTTACTTTTTATGTGACCTCGTAATATGAATGCGATACGACTGAGCACATACTGAATTATTAACCAGTTAATATACACCACCACCACCACCACCATGCATGCACAAAGTAACGATTATTGATTGTGTAAACAATAACTACCAGAGAGCCATATTGGAACTCCCATTATACACGACACTACCAACTGAAAGCGTCCAAACAATTGTCCTGTGTCATTAATAAACAATGAACGCCATTTTTAACGAAACGTGTATGGAAATTGTTAATATAACGAACAAATAAAGCTTAACAATTCCCATAAAAAAATACTAAAAGCATACTAATTCGTTAATTGTACGTAGAAACTCCTAAATACTACTGAACACTGGATTCGTGGAATTATCAGTTATCCTTTTAAGGCAACAAGGATAAGTGATAAAATCAAAACGTATCTACTAAGGATGCCAAAGTGTGTTGGCCTCTCAGCGTACAATACAATTGGAATAGCAATATACCTTTACATATGTGAGAACCTTTAGGTAATGAGGTGGTTCATTTTTCTCAGCTAATTTTTCTTATTTAGTGTGAAATGTTCAAAGTTTTTCATTCACTATTCGATAAATATTAACTGCTACTTAGAAACCATACGATTTATCATCATTCGGATATCAGATAGTACCAAATTTTTAATACGCTTGATTGGTATGTCAAACATGCAACATTCCAATCCGTAACATCCAGAGATGTAATTTATTTGAAATACTTGAATTTAAAATGTAAATACAAAATAAAAAACACCTATTTTTATCTTCATTTAAATACTTTTTGAGAAAAGCATTTTGTATTTTATTCAAAATATTTTTCCAAACGCATATTCTGTTTGAAAAATGCAAAATACATTTTTGCCGTTAAAAGTTTTGCTTGTATTACCGATATAAAATTATGAATGAAAGTTGCTCACATTGACCATTCAAGGTATAAGAAGCTTAAAAAGGGTACAAGGAGACATTCCATGAATGCCTTCTAATTCTTTAACCGAAGAAGGCCCAAAAAATTTGAAACTCCTTGGAAATGGATAATCTATATCGGACCAATATTGTTTTCCAGGTTCAATATCATGGTCCATAGAATTTTGAAGTTCCAAATTGATATCAGCACCTGCCAAATCGTCACTTATCGTACCTTTAGCAAGAAACTACGAAATTCTATGAATTACAACAAAACAGACCGCTAAACAATATCGAATTGATATATGCCAGCTTTGTAAAACTGAAAACTACAAGATATTTTGGTGCCTCTAATCTAAAATTCTTAAAAAACGATTCAAAAAGCTTCACTTCTTAGATGAACCCAAACCTAAAGAAACTGTAGATTCCATTCTTTCTTTTTTTACAATGTGAAAAAGATCGGAAACAAAATGGGGTTGTAAATATTTTGATATAAAAAAATTTGCAACCCTATTTTTTTGCTCTCATTCGTCATGGAAAACAAGCTATTTTGACATCAGTGCCTTTTTTCCAATTAAAACGGATGACAAAGGCTAATAAGGAAGCATATAGAAGAATTATTTGTTGCTGAACTGAAGAAACTATAACATAAAGTTAGAGAAACTATATCTTCAGTCACTTTAAACGGAAATATATGAATCATACTCAATCTTCGTAGTTGGTGATATAATGCAAACGCTACTGTTAATCTAGAAAAAAATTTTAAATGGGAAAATGCTTGCAGTTTTCTTAAAAGAATATTTCATACTTAAGTATTTAACATTTACAATATAAAAGTAAAATCTATTTTATATTTTACATTTGCAATAACAAATCAAAAAGGTGTTTGCATTTTGTGTTTAAATACTTTTAAAAAACCATTTCGCACATCTCTGGTAACACGTAATCTTTAGCAGTATTTTACACCTTAAATAGACAATAAATGAATTCGTTTCAAAAATTTTGAAATCTTAAGTAATCTATCGTACTTAGAATCTATCTAAGTATGTTTTGAGGTCAAATAAAAGATCTAAAATCAATAGTCCGCTTGGTCTAAAGCTTCCAAATACGCGAGGACATGTACATGGAACAACAAGACAAGTGCGACTGCTTGTGTAGAAAAAGCTTTGCTCGGTACTTGATTCGAGTTTCTAGCGCTACACTCGCTTTAAGTATGTAACGCTTTTAATGGGAGTACACACTCTATCGGAACTTTAAAGTGCATGCTGCTGGCCAAGACTAACGGCTTTTTAACGCAAATAGCTTGCCGTTGTGTCTCCATGCAAATGGGCACTCTGAGGCTGTTTTACTTTTTTATTGTTTTTGGTAATTGCAAATGTGCAACTAAAGGCACATCCCCAACTTCAGGCAGAAACTATAAAGTAATCGTTATACAGGAAGAAACGTTTAGAAAACATCTTTTGTCTAACTTCAAAGTATCACTTGATGAGGCATAATTACAAATGGATCGAATAAAAGCAAATATTTCAAACTTTCAGTAACATTTATTTTTGAGTTTATACCTTAACTTTTGGGTGTTTCATTCCCACCAGCCA